CCGCAGCCTCTCCTCGGCCACACCCGCCTATTTACTTATTCTAAGCCCTCGCTTTAAAAAATGTTATTTTCTTTAGCGTAGTTGCTTATTCTTTCTGAAACTTCAGAGCCTTAGATAATAGCTCGTGGTTTGAACTTCGTGCGCTGTCCATTATTTTTCATTGCGACTCTCCTTGGCTGGGCCTTTATTAGTAGACGTTATGCTTTATTGTTCTGGGTAACTTTCATAGCTAAAAAAAATCTTGGTTCAGCGTTTCTATTTATTAATTAATTAATTTATTTATTTTGCAATCCCTATCATCTTTTGTGCATCCTTGAAGGGATTCTTGAAAAGGTGATTTTTTAGTTTTATTTTTTTTTGCAGATTCTGATTCTGGATCTGAATCTGATTCCGATCAGGAGAACGCTGGCTCTGGGAGTAATGCCTCTGGAAGCGACAGCGACCAGGATGATGACAGAGAGGCAATAAAACCCAGTAATAAGGAGTTATTTGGAGACGACAGTGAGGATGAAGGGGCATCCCACCACACAGCGAGTGACAACCATTCGGAAAGGTCCTACAATCGCTCTGAAGCTTCAGGACATTCTGAACACGAAGATAATGATCAGTCAGACGTGGACCAGCACAGTGTTTCAGAAGCTGCTCACGATGATGAGGAGGATGACCGTGGGCATGGGTCAGATGAAGGCAGTCATCATTCAGAGGGAGATGGTTCTGAGAAAGCACACTCAGAGGATGAGAAGTGGGGCAAGGAGGACAAAAGCGATCAGTCAGACGATGAGGAGAGACAGCAGAACTCTGATGATGAGGAGAGACAGCAGAACTCTGACGATGAGGAGAAAGTGCAGAACTCTGATGAAGATGAAAGGCCACAGATATCTGATGATGAGGAAAGGCTCCAGAACTCGGATGAGGAGAAAATGCAGAACTCGGATGATGAGGAGAGGCCGCAGGTCTCGGATGAGGAGAAGATGCAGAATTCGGATGACGAAGAAAGGGCCCAGCACTCTGACGAGGAGAAGATGCAGAACTCTGACGACGACGAAAGGGCCCAGCACTCCGATGAGGACGACCAAGAGCATAAGTCTGGTAGGACTGAACACAGCAGTAATGATTTGATTCTGGCTTGATCTCTGTTTATGGTTTCATTTATATTGGCCTGAAAAGATTCAGACTTCAGTGTAAAGGCATTAATCATGTAGCTTTCAACTAAAGTAATTTTTTTTATGCAGCTCTTTTAAATTCCTTTTCATCTGAATCAACTTATTAATAGAAAGGAATTTTAAAATATGTGGAACAAAATTTTTAATTTGCTGAGATTGATTATGCTCCTTAGTAGAGTCTGCAAGGGGCAGTGATAGTGAAGATGAAGTTCTGCGAATGAAGCGAAAGAAGCCAATTGCGTCAGATTCAGAAGTGGACAGTGATACAGAAGGACAGAAAGGTAAAGGGTGGTGTTTTGTGGGTTGCTAGTTCATTTAATCCTCATCTTAATCGTGCCTGTTGTGATTTGACCCTGGCCGGCAGCCAGG